GAATGGGGGGTGTGCTGGGGGGAAGGGGAGGGGGCCAGGAAGGGGGAGAACAAGGGAATCTGTGGCTGTTATATAGAACTGAATGGTATTGTAAAATAAAATAAAATTAAATTTAAAAAAAAATTGAAAACAAGCCAGAGTCTGTCTTTGTGAATGGGTTCATCAGGGTGACTTTTATAAAAACATTTTCTCATACAGTATGTTGTTATCATGGTTTGCCTTCCCTCATCTCCTCCCAGATCCTCCTTAGAGCCATCTAACCAACTTCATGACCTCTTTTTCTCTCTCTTTATGAAATAAACAGGAGAAAACACCCAAACAGAACAAAATAAAACACACAACAACAAAACTAGGTAAAGTATGTAGAACACATGGAATGGTAGGCACACATACACAAACACACATTTACACACACAGGTGTCTTGCCTGCAATATAAGCTAGTGCAACTGTGGCATAGATTTTGAGGGAGTAACCAGTCAACATCTGATTTGACTTTAGGTCCACTCTATGGAAAACACCCCTGACACTTTTGTGTGTGTGTCAAACACCTGAAAGTAAACGGAAGAAGGGAGGAGGCTAAAACCAAATGCCACTGCTCTATTAAAAGGCCATAGCAATAAGACGACTCCTAATGACATTCTGCAATAGATCACTGCCTTCCTCAACCACTGTCAGAGAAACTTCCTCCTGCAGCAGATGAGGGCAAATAGAGAGACCCACAGTCGGACATTATGCTGAGAATGATAGACCTTGGAACTCTCAGCCCTGAATGTTATGTCTCCATCTAATACCTCTCCTCAGGACATAGAGGTCACTGTGGTAGATGAGGCAGAAAGAGTGTTGGAGAGAGAGACTAGAGGACACCAGAAGAACAAGGCTCTCTATATCAACAAGATAGGTACACAAGTGATCTCACAGAGAATGTGGCAACGTGCACAGGGCCTGCACTGGTCTGTACCAGATGAGATGAAAGTGGATGTGTTCACATTCCTCCATTCCTAAACCAGTAGTTGTTTCCAATTGCTAAGCAATTGCAAATGAAAGTCTAATTTTCTCCAAGAGAGTCTCACTAAGGGAACAAAAGATCATTCTAAGTATAGGATACAAAACTAGCACTAGATTGCTAGCAGAAAAGAAACTCAATGGTGTCTTTGGAGCATCCTTGTGTCATAATGTCCTGTCAGGCTTTTCATTTTTTCTCTTTTGTATTTTATTATGTATTTTGTGTATGTATTATGGCTTCTCATTTAGTGGTTTTTATGAGATTTCTGGGAGCATGAACAAGTGGGTCTCTGTGTCTATATCTGTTTTTTGTGTGATCTCTTGGGCAATTTCCTCTTGTGTGGTAGTTTTCTACTATTCTGATGTGCTAGTTTTTGTTTGATATACTGCTATATTATATTATAATTTATAAATATTCCTTAGAAGCCTGATTGTTTTCTAAAGAGATAGAATGGAGTTAGATCTGAGCAGGAGGAGTGATGGGGAGGAACATGGAGAAGAACAGAGTGGGGAAACTGTAATTAGGATATATCATGTAAGTAAAAAAGATATTTTCCATAAATGAAAAGGAAAGATAAAAAGATAAAAAAATATAGTTGGAAACCATAATATTCAGTTAATCACTGCAGAAACTTAAACCTGCTCAGGAAATGAAAGGAAAAATTTGTTTCTCCAATGAGGTTGCACAGGATACACAAAGGACACTGACGGGCAGGCCCTATGTGTGGCAGTAGACGGCAACACAAGATGAACTCAGTAGGGACTGATGACTTTTTCTAATTGTTTGTTTCCTATTCTGGATTATTGTTATTGACTTATGTATTCTACATGTCTGTGTGTTTTTAATAAGAGGACAAGAGAATATATGTTTCTCTTGGAAATCATTGGAAAGCAAATGATGTGCAAGCTAAATTTTGCAAAAACAGAATATTATGAGCACCAAAACTTCCAAGATATCATTGATTTCACTTTTTAATTTTGTTTTTTATTGACAATAGATTTTTTTCATACACTATATTGTTATCAGGGTTTTCCTTTCCCCACTCCTCCCAGATCTCCTGCACCTTTCTACCCACCTCAAAACACATATTTTCTCTTGGAATATAATACCTGTTTGATTGAAAATTAAATACTTCATCGTGTATGATATCAAAATGTAAAAAAAAATTGGAACTCAGCAGCCTAAATACAATGGGTAATAATGTTAGACTCACATTTATAATCTTAAAAAATAAAAATTATAAAGCTGAGAAGTCTCAGTGTGGATGGAAGTTTAGACAGTATTTACATGGTACAAGATGAGTATAAATGTTCAGGGTAACAAAGGGGGAGTCAGGACCCATATAAAGAGGAAACCAGAAAGGCAACGTGGAGGAAGGAAGAAAACAGTCCACACTTCCCACATGGAGACCAGGTGATATCAGATTGGAGGACTCACAGAGGATAAGGCATCTGGGCAAAGAGCCCTGTTTCTGAAAGACTGGCATTCCATTTCAAATGAGAGATATGAGGTGTTGGTATTTGTCAACCTAATGGAGAAATTTCCTGTGACAGTCTTCAAGTCAGACTAGATTTGTGAACACAGGGACTCCATATATTCACAGTTCATAAAATACTATTATCAGGGGCCCAGTGGGACAGTTTATGGAACAGTCAAACACCAAGGAGCCTGGGTCCACACTGACTGAGTTTGTGTGTGTCAGGTGGTCCAATAGACAGGCATGAACATTGGCCTGTTCAGATGCAGATACTCTGACTAAAGTCAAGAAGAAAGAACCACAGATGACTGTATCTGTCAGGGCACCTAAAATGTAACTTGACACTTCTGACTAGAGACACATGCTTGAGATTGCATTAGTGCTACTTGGATAGGTCAAGGACTTGTCAGAAGAATATTGAGATTACAAATGCCATATAACCCATTGGACAACTCTGCTGATGTCCATGCCAATATTTCCTCCCATTGTGTTGACTTGTGTTTCTATAAATCTGAAGTTAAATAAACCCTGCTTCCTGTAAGTAGATCTTTGCCAACTATTAGATCATAACCATGAGAAAAATTAGTAGTTGAGTGGCTTGAGAGAAGAATGTGAGAAAAAAAATTAGAAATCACTGTGGATTTTACAAGTATTGATTGGACAGTTGCATGTGACATCACATGGAGTCCATGATGTAAGCTAGGCATCAGCCAATAAAAGGGCACCACCTAGGGCTGGGTTTTATCTTTGTATTTCAGAGAAGCGGTTGGTGAGAGAGCAGTTGGATTCAGTTTTTTTCTGCAAGATTTGGACTTTTCAAAGCCTGTCAGATCTCAACTTAGTGAGTATATTTCCCAGGTTTTCAGTTTAGGCTTTTGTCATTTGTTATCTATTCATTGCTTTATTTACATTTTTTGGTTTGGGTTTTGATTTTTGCCTGTAAATGCTTTTTCCTCATTTCACCTCATTTTCCTTTTTATCAACTTCTTTCTTTGTCATTTTTGCCTTTGTTCTTGTGTAACATATATATTTATACATATGGTGGTATATATTATCTCTATAGCATGAGGAATTTGATCATGACTTCCAATATCTGACTATTTTGCATTATAATCATATTTACATGCTCTATTTCACTTACCCACACATTGAATGTGACAAGTACTTTCAAATGATCTGAGGTTCTTCCCTCTGCTTGTTCAGGATCCCTAGGAAACAAAATGTGACAGTTGTGTTTGTGGAACTGGAATATTTGAAGTAACACTTTCTCTAGTTCCAAATGTTTTCCTGAGAAAGGCATTTCATTCATTTGATGTCCAATTATAGGACTTACCTCAACGTTGTGTGTATGTTCTGCTTTGTGTCAATTTCTATTTGTGGACAAATCATAATGTTCCTGGGTGACCGTGAAGTATGGTCTTAATGTGTTGTTGAATTTGGTGTGAGCTATCTCTCATTAAGGATTTTCTAATCTATGTTAGTCAAGGATATTGCCTGATACTGACCTCTTTTTAAGTTTTATTTACTTAGTGTGAGAATAATGGTAATACATATTTTATGAGAAAAAATTGAAAATGTTCCTTCCCTCAGACTTATAGGATACTGAAATATCTGGAGAACATTGCTGTTAGATGTTGAAATGATAGAATTCATCAGTGAATTGTCCTGGTCACTCTACGGGTCTTTCATGATACTCAATACTTTCAGAGTGTTTTGTCTAGTTTTATTTCCTAAACTTTAATTTTCCCTTTGACTTATTGTTTCCCTCCTTCTTGGATGCATTTTTAATTTTTATCAGGGGAGGGAGGGAATGGCCAGAGCTTACAGAAGGACAGTGATGCATGGACAGATCTTCCTTTCAGACAAAAGGTCATTAGTAAAGATGGTCTGGACACTCTGTGGGTGTCTGAAGGAGTTTTATTCCCACCAGACAAAGTGTGTCTCCATTAACTTCATGGTGTCTGAGGAGAAAGGAGTTGCTTCAACACCAAGAAGCAGGCTTGGTTAATATGCTACATGATAGAGGATGGGATCTGGAATTTAGGCTACTGAAGAGCTCATTGATTAGATTCATGGGGTGGATGGGAGAGATACAGTCAATGTGTGACTGTGTGACAGCAATAAATCTGTCTTGGCTTCTGGGAAAGTAACAGGAGAGGGATGGGGAAGGATAACAGCACTCTCAGCTAAGGGCATTTGTCCTTGGGGACAAGAACATGAATGGAAAAAATTTTAATAATTTAACAGAAAATAATTTTAAAAAATCACTGTGGTTTTTTCTGAGCCTTGATTGGCCCATAGCATGTGACATCACACGGAATCCTTGTGAGGTATGCTAGACACTAGCAAAAGGCACTGTCTGAGGCTGGGTTTTGTCTGTACTTCAGAGAATCCATTGGTTGGTGGGAGAGCAGTTGGACTCTGTTGTTTCCCATATACTTGACCTTTTCCCTGACCTGTTGGATCTGGACATAGTGAGTTTGTTTCCCAAGTTCTCAGTTTGCGATTTTGTCAATTGTATCTAAATATTTCTTTATTTACATTATTGGTTTGGGTAGTATTTTTTTCCCTGTAATTCCTTTTTCTTCATCTCAACTTGTTTTCCTTCTATCAACTTCTTTTCTTTGTCATTTTTGGCAGTGTTCTTGTGTATTTTACAAATTTAGTGTTATATATTAAATGCATAGGATGAGGAATTTGATCATGACTGATATCTGGCTGTACTCTCCTTTGATCATATTTATCTGCTATATTTTACTTCCTGACCCATTGAATTGGACAAGTACTTTGTCAAGGGGACAAGTCCTATTGAATTGGACCCATTATACAAAGGCTATCCCCCTACCTGCTCATGACCTGGAGAGAACAAAATGTGACACTTGTGTTTGTGGAACTGGCATGTTTGTAGGAACACTTTCATTGATTCTAAGTTTCTTCCATATTAGGCATTCCATTCCACTGATGTCTGATTTAGGACCTACCTCAGTGTGGTGTGTATGCTGTGCTCTTTGGCAATTTTTGTCTGTGGACGAATCTTGGTGTTCCTGGTTAAAAATGTCTTGATCATGAAGTCTGGTCTTATTAATGTGGTGTTTAATTTGATGTGAGCTATCAATTACTCTCATTCATGTTTTCCAATCTGTCACTCAAGGATATTACCAGATACTGGGATCTTTTTTAAATGTCTTGTACGGTTTGGAAATTAGGAGAATACTTCTTTTATGAAATGTGCTTGAAAGTGTGCCTTCCCTCCATTTTATGGACTACTGAAATACTGCAGAACATTGCTGCTAGTTGTTGAGATTGGAAAAGTTGATTTCCAGTTTGTTTGGTTTTGGATTTAGATTTGCTGTTTCATATTTATATTTATGTTTTCAGTTTTCTTTATATTTATTCTTCTTTCATAGAGTACATCCTCCTGTATGTATCCATCCTGACTGCATCCTCCCCTCCCTCCACTCCTCCCAGTTGACCCTCACCTCCTCTCTCCACCAGATCCACTGCTCCTCTGTTTCCCTTGAGAAAAGAGCAGGCTCCAAGGGATAGCAACTGAACATGGAATAATGAGATGCAATAAGATTATATTTACATTTTTGTTTTTTCTTTTTTTAATGTGTAAATACTTTTGAAGAAACATTTAATTTTTTGTTCTTTGAGAATTTCATTTTATTTTTACTATTAATTTTTTTTCTTTTCATTTTACATGCATACACAGATTTCCCCATCCTCCCTCCTCCTGTCCCTGAGCCTTCCCCCCAACTCACCTCTCATTCCCACCTCCTCCAAGGCAAGGTCTCCCATGGGGAATCAGTAGAGCCTGGTACATTCAGTTGAGTCAGGTCCAAGGCCCTCCCCCTGCACTAAGTCTGCACAAGGTGTCCCACCATAGGCACTGAGTTCCAAAAAGCCTGCTTATACACCAGGCATGGATCCCAATCCCACTGCCTGGGGGCCCCTAGCCAGTTCAAGCTAAACAACTGTCTCGCCTATCCAGAGGGCTTAGTCCAGTCCCATGGGGGCTCCTCAGCTATTGGTCCACAGTTCATGTGTTTCCACTAGTTTGGCTAGTTGTCTCTGTACTTTTTCTGATCATGATCTCAATGTCCCTTGCTCATAGAATCCCTCCTCTCTCTCATCAATTGGACTCCTGGAGCTTGGCCTGGCACTCGGCCATGGATCTCTGTATCTGCTTCCATCAGTTACTGGATGAGGCTCTATGATGACAGTTAGGGTATTCACTGTTCTGATTACTGAAGTAGGACAGTTCAGGCACCCTCTTGACTATTGCTAATAGTCTAAGGTGGGGTCATCCTTGTGGATTCCTGAGAACTTCCCTAGCATCCTGTTTCTGCCTATTCCCATGATGTCTTCATTTATCATGGTGTCTCTTTCCTTGCTCTCCCACTCTGTCACTCTGTTCTAGCTCAAAACTCCCCGTTCCCTTATGTTCTCATCCTCCATTCCTTACCCTCAATTACCCCACCTCACCCCCAGTTTGCTCATGTAGATCTCATCTATTTCTCCTTCGCTGTGCTATCTATGTGTCTCTCTTGGGATCTTCATTGTTAACTAGCTTCTCTGGACCTGTGGGTTGTATTCTGGTTATCCTTTGCTTTACATCTACTATCCACTTATGAGTGAATACCTACCATGTTAATCCTTCTGAGTCTGGGTTATTTCACTCAGGATATTTTTTTATATATACACATTCTCATAAGCAATTTGCATGATACATTTCCATACAGGCCTACACTGTACTTGATCATGTTCCACTGCACTACATCAGTCCCCCACCATATCTTTGTGCCTGGTACTGTGACTTTTACACAAGCCTAGCCCTCTCCTTCCTCATGACCAGGAGAGACAAAGTAGATCCTGTTTCTGTTTGTTGACCTGCTTTGTCTCCTGTAAACTCTGTCTAGTTTAGCTACTTTCCTTATAACACAGCAGTTCTCTGGTCACTGTGCTGAGTGTGGATTCTTCCCACAGTCTCCATATGTGTTATGCTGTTGTTCCATGTGATACAAATGTTACTTCTGCCATTGGGACCATGAACAAAGGGCTCTTTAGTGTGTTGGATGATGGAGGTGAAGTATCAGAGACTCTCATGAACGATCTTCACATCTATGCTCATCAAGGAAAGGAGCTAACACTTGCTCCATTCTTTGAGCTTACTTGGTGGTGGGATCAGGCTAACACTGGCACAGGGATGAGTTTGGATGTGGGCCTTTGCTTTTTCTCTCTTGAAGAATTTTCTATAACCCTGGCCTTCATTCTTCTGCTAAGCCTTCAATGATTCAGGGAATCTATGAGATCTGGGCTCTGCTTGTTTGGAGCTGTTTTTGTTGCCAGTCCAAACTGGTTGCTTATGACTTATGTGTTTAAGTGTTTTTATTTTATCTTAACTCAATATTCACACATGTCTAGGAATTCCTTTCATATTTTTTAATTTTCTGGAGTATAATTTCTACAGTATAAAAACTGTAACATCCTAAAGGCCCTCTGAACTGTAGTTGTATCAGTTACAACATCAATTTTTCTATAGTGTAATTTGTATCTGATCTCTCTTGATCAGCTTTGTTGTGGGGTTTGCATCGTGGCACATCCTTGAACAGGAGCACCTCATTCTTTCAGGGATCTCAGGATTTTCCTTTGCATACCAACTTTACTTATGCCAACTCTGATCTTTCCTATGACTCCTCATTCACTGCCTTGGGTTTAGGTTCTTCTAGTATTTTTATATCCTTGAAGAGCATCATTAAATTGCTTGGGATATCTCAGATTTCATAACAGAGAATTCCAAGCTGTAGCTTTCCCTCCTAAAACTGCATTAATTTTTTTCTTTTAGCATTGTATGGGTCTGAAATTGCACACAAGATAAAGTGGTTGAAATTGAGCAGAACACCATGGGCAGCCACATGGATGAGGACATTCTTGAAAAGGATTTCAGGATGTTAACATCTCTAGGGTGTGGTTCATTCGGGGAGGTGAAGCTGGCCTGCCACCTTCCCACACATACACGAGTGGCTGTCAAGGTCCTTGAGAAAAACACCAACAGTGTGGCTGACATCAGTACTGAAGTGAAAATCCTTCAGTCTCTGGAACACAGGAACATCGTTCGATTTTTTGACATGATCGACACACTGTCAACCACTTATCTGATTATGGAGTATGTGGCAGGAGAAGATCTGGAGAGCTGCCTCCAGGCACTGGGCTGTCTAAAGGAGGAGGAGGCTAGAGGGATTTTCAGGCAGGTGGTGTCAGCGGTTCACTTCCTCCACCAGAGAAACATTGCACACCGTGATATTAAATGGGAAAACATCCTAGTCGATGCAGCAGGAAATGCAAAGCTTTGTGACTTTGGTATGGCAATTGAAATCACAGAGGGGCAGATGTTGGAGGAGATCTGTGGCTCCTTGCTCTATTGGGCCCCAGAGATCTTGGCAAGAAAGCCCTATGATGGACTGGCGGGTGATATGTGGAGCTTGGGTATCGTCCTGTATGTCTTGGTCACAGGGCACTTTCCATATATGGAAGAAACCCTTGAAGGTATGCACAGCGTCATCACCACCACAATATGTCCCATTCCTTACCATCTGTCAAAACCCTGTCATATCATCATTGCCCGACTACTCATGGTCCCTATCTGGTACCGATTTACAATCTGTCAGCTTGTGGAAAGAGCATGGCTGGGCCCAATTCAAGAACATGTACTGCCTGCCACCAAAGAAATCCTGCCCAGGGTCGTGGAGACCATGTGCACCATTGGCTATACCTGTGAGGAGATTGTTTCATCCCTAACTCACAGGCGAGAAGATAATCATGTAATGGCTACATGCAACATTCTCAAATATCAGCTGAGTGGTGGAGGCAGCCATCAGCAAGATCAGATGCCCTGATTAACAAGCAGCCCTGCAGGTCCTGTTCGCCTCCCTCTCCCCTTGAAGAGAGCCAGTGAACCAGCATTTACAACCGGTAGACATGCTGGGAAGGATCACTTTAAGGAGGAGGGTGTGGAAGAAAGAGGCAAAAGATGTAGAAGCTACATCGTGCCTCACAGACTCTCCTTCCTGGAGGTGATGCCCGGTTCAGACAACACAGTCCCAGAAAAAGATGCTCTTATGGCTGATGTCATCAACACTGATACAGAGGACATTGCGGTCAACAGGAATTCTGTTGACCCCCTGCCTGGCAATCTCTCCTCCCCTGAATCAGTCTTAGATGCAACACCCACAGGATTTCTGAACCTGGGCTTCTGTGAAGAAGATTCATCCCAGGAGCCAGACATTCCCAGTGACCAGCCCCAGGTGGCACCCATGACATCTGGATCCAGGCCACTCAGGGTCTGGAAGCTGGTGAGGAAGCAAATTTCCCATGCACTGAGAGCACTGTGCTGCTGCTGCTGCTGCTGCCTGCCCACTCCAAGGTGAGCCCTGAACCCTTGCATCAGGGGCTGCAGGGAAAGAGAGGACAGTGGAGACCTACATGGAGAACAGTAGGTTGGGCCACACAGATGAATTCCTATGTTGTCTTTTCAATATGCTATTTCAATATCCTTTTTAAATGAAAACTTGTACCCACTCAGAGGGCACAGAACTTTATATGTAGTACATTAGATGGCAAATTCACAGCTTCCTGTTCATGTAAAGTCATGGAAGGTTGAGGCAAAAGCAGATAGCACAGCATGGGGACCACAGGGTGGGAACGGGGAGAGTTTGCCTAAAGGGGTTAAAGGTTCAGAATGGAGGAATCAGGAAGAGAAATATGGCACAGAACTTTCATCTGCCAAAGTCACTAATAGAGGTGCTTTCATGTTTCTTTCTGCTTTGAAGTGTGGAAACTGAAATGGCCCAATAGAATTCCAGACCTGGTGAGGGGTGACTGCCACAGAAGTGAGCCAGAACTCATCTCCAGTGTGCCAGCTCCCTCCAACCCAGGACAACAGGCTCCTGCCTGCATTCATCCTCCAGCTATTGGGTCTGAGCTGCCACTCTGTATCTCTTTCAGCTTAATCCAGCTTCAGAACTGTTGTGGGACAATTGGGGGTCATAAGGTGCATGGACCCCATGACCCTCTACCTTCCTAGCTTTGGTTGTGCTTGTAGGACCACTCACAATGCATGGAAAACAGCAGCCTCTACCACAAGGAATGACTTTATACCAATCTAGGCTGCTCATCATCTTGATCACTTTAACCCTCCAACTTACTCTGTGACTGCCTTTTGTAAAGAACAGCAAGACCTGTGCAAATCCTCTGGAGAATGGAGGTGGGTGAAAGGAGATAAAGGGGACTAATTGGGGAAGAATTTTGAATCAGGAGTAGGGGACATGAGAGGTGGTGTAGAATAAGGAGTAGAGTCTGTCCTGAGGAACTTCCTGTCAACAAAGTGACATGAAAGAGATGTGTGTGCTGACCTGTGATAGGGGCCTTGCACAGTCTAGAGCAGGAACAACCCTCCCCTGAAGTGCAGACTGGGAGGGAGCTAGGAAGAGCCAGCAATGAGGAGGAGAGGGCCTGCTCTGATGGTTCCTAGCATGTGTCAAGGCACCCAAGTAGGATGCTGTCTTGGAAATAGCATCCTGTTCTCTCCTACAGAGCTGGGGTGTAGCAGGAGAAAGAAGCAGTCAGTGGAATCCTGTCCTCCTCAGTGCTGAGTAAGTCCTGTCAAAGTCACTAAGAGAGGCACTTTCTTTATTCTTTTGGGTTTTATTTGTGAAATGGTCTACTTAAACTACAGTCTTGGTGTGGTGTAGTGCAACAGGAAGGATCCAGGCTGGAAATCTGTGTCCTGTGTGATGATTAGTTAGGGCTACAGGTTCCAGTGTCCATCCTTCAGGTAGAGGGTCTCATCTATCCCCATCGGTAGAGGTTCCATGTCACCAAAAAGGGCTGCCTCTGACAACAGGACAGACTGGCACACAGGTCTCAGTCTTCCATCTTCTTTGATCCCTTCATCACCTCCAAACTGTTTTCTGACTGTCTTTTAGAAGAACCGCAGGAACTGTAAATCCACTGGGAGACAGGAGAATGGATATAAGAGGAGGAACAGGGGACAGGAGGTGGAGAGGATGAAGAGGAAATGAGAGGACCTATAGAGAGGGTAGAGTCTGTCCAGAGGAGCTTACCTGAAATGAGTCAGGAGAAAAGGAGATTTTCCTGGGACAGGGGTCTTGAAGAAGTGAAACCAGGAACAAATGTCTCAAACAGAGCAGAGTGTGACCTTGGGTTTATTGTCAGCCTTAAGGAGGAAAGACCCTGCTCTGATGGTTCCTGGCATACGTCAAGGTAGAGAACTATGAGGCTGCTTTGGAAAGGGGCTTCCATTCTGGGCTACTGAAGAAGGGTCTGGCAGAAGAGAAGGGTGGCTCCATCATGCAGTGGAGTCCTCTGCCACTCCTGTCTGACATGTCCTTTGGCAGATCTGATGACTTCTGTCTTTGTCTCCATAGCCTCCTTCATCCAGGGTTCACTTGCTGTCTCCCACCTCCTGATCCAAGAATCTTTCATCATTTTTTTCCATCTCATGAAAGGATTTATAACTGACATTTGACCTTGCATTAACATTGTTCTGCTCCAATGTGGGAAGGTAAGTAGACCTTGCCAGGCCTGATCCTGGGTATTGTCTTTACAAGGCTAGAACACTGGACTTCTCTATAACTAATGCCCACCATTGGGGTCAGACTCAGAAGGAAACCTTGATCATCATGGATCTCTTGATGACATCCCCTGGTGCAGTGTGAAGCACTGGTTGAGTGTAGTGTCTCAACTGTTTTCCAGGATGCCTTCCAGTTAGGGAGCAGATCACTGATTCACAAGGGGAAATGAACTCAACAGGGAATCCAGGGTCTAATCTGTATGAAACATGGGCCTGCAGGTAAGATTGAGTACAGTATCTGTGTGTGGTAGAAGATGAGTCTCTGAAGCCTGGTCTTGATTTCATGAAGAAAAGGATCCCATGAAGTGGCATATGCAAGCATCCCTGACACAGAGGGAATGTTATCACTGACTTGCTCAACTGAAGAGCAATGGGAGACTGAGAGACTGCAGAGGTGTGACAAGGGAGGAAGCAGCTTCTCTGCTGTAGTTGGCCTCCAGCTCCATTCTGACCATCTGATCCTGGGTTGTTAGCAAACACTGAGGCATGTTAAAGTCTTCAGCAAGATCTTCCCAGCAGCTGTCAGTTACCTCTAGAACCCTGACCATCTTGTGAGTCCCGTGTGCACAGAACAAGATCAGTCATTTTCTTCAAGAAGAGAGAGAAATTTTCAGTTTGTGGGTATCACATGGTGTCACACTGTGTTTCTGCTGCATATCAGTGAAGGCAGGGTTGAGAAATGTTTGAGGATTCTGTTGAATTCTAGAAATGAGATGGGGAAATTTCCTGAATCCTCATTTTATATTTTACTTTTTTTGAGACTGGATCTCACTATATAGCCCTTACTATTCCGACAGTCTCTGTGTAGAACATGCAGTCTCAACCTCACAGAGATTGACCTCCTTTCTCTGTCCCCTGAGTGCTGCGATTACAGATGTGGACTGCCATGCCTGGCTTCAGGTACTGTATGTACATCATCAATGGTAAATTTCTCAAACGTTTGAGGGAAAAGAGACAAGTCTTGTGCTTCTTTCATCCTAAAAGGTTCAGGGATTGAACTGAAGGTTCTGTCATCCAGGATGGACTACAAACAGCAGCAAAGTCCAAATCTAACCTTCAGAATAGAAGTCTATGTCCACCAGTGAACAGATACCTGCAGGTGAGAACTGCTGTCATGAATTCTTCTGGGGACCCCAGTCAGTGGGCTGGAGGAGGTATGCACTAGCTGATACATCCTTGGAAAGAAAGCACAGAACATGCAAAAGCTACTTTCTAATTCTTTTTCACAGGATCCCCACCTGCAGTCCAGGCATAAATCCCATGACCTCAACCTGACCAATCAGGAGAGTCCAGATTGGCTACCTGGTCTGATGGATTGAGTTCTTTCCATTTGAGCCTTGAGATCACAGCTGAGGACTCAAGGTGGGTCACTGGGACAGTTGGTGCCTGTCTTGGGATGTTGGAGGCAGGGCTTTCACTTTAATGACAACAGTGGCAGAGGGAGTGCAGGAAGCCACTGTAGATGTAACCAACCATGTTATTAAATAAGAAACACAGAACCAATGCAAAGAAGAAAGCCAAGAGGTCAGAGCTAAGAGCTAAAACCTTACCCTTCCTCCTGAGGTGGTCCTACCTTTCTGAACCAGAGCTACTTCCTGTGTGTCTGTCTTTTTATAGTGTTTCTGTTCTGCCTTCTCATTGGTTGTAAACCCAACCACATGATCACCTCATCACGGCCTGTCTGTATAGACCTCCAGGTTTTCAATGATGGGTATTGAGATTAAAGGCATGTGTATCCAATACTGGCTGTATCCCCTGAACACACAGAGACTTACCTAGCTCTACCTACCAAGTGCTGGGATTACAAGAGTACGCCACCACTGCCCTGCTTTCCTATGGCTTGCTAATAGCTCTGACCCCCGGGCAACTGTATTTATTAACATACAAATAACATTTTAATACAAATAAAATATCACCATAAGCCACAAACTCTAGATAGGAGCTTCCAGTTCTACTCATCTGACACCCAGATTCTGTCTGCTTGTCTGCTGACTTCCATGGCTCCTCTTGCTCATGGGTCCCACAGTGCTTTTGTTATTTGTCAAAACCACTTTGGGTTGGTTTTAGGCCACTGTACTTTGTTCATACTCCCTGGTTATTGGAGAGCCCAGGACTGAAGGTTTCTGAAATCTGAACCAACTGGGACTCTATGCAGCGCACTCTAGACAGTGTGTGATGATAGAGGTGATCAGCCCCTCCCAGGAACATTGTGGACCATTCCAGGAAGACCACTGTCCTATTCCATGTCCTGAGTGTTCTGTTGCTCATGTTCTGACTCCTATGACCTGAAGATTTTGCATATGAAAGAAAACAGTGATCCTTGTCTTTTGGGACAACCTTGTCACACATAACACAGTCTTTCTCAGTTGTATCTGTTTTCTGAAAAATGTCTAAATTTCATTCACTCCTGAGGGTGAGAATGTTCTTTTTATCCTGTATGCTCTTCATTTATTTATTTCATCTATTTATTTACTTATCTCTCTGCTGAGTCATTTATTCATTTATATATTCATTCTATGTGTCTTTTATATCAGTATCTTGATCACACTCATGATCCCATCTCTTCTCACCTGCCCTCCACTCCTACATCTGCCCAAACAAAACAAAATTTAAGAAAATAAAAAGGGAAAGTAAGATAAATTTTTAAAAGGGGAGAGACTTCAAGGTTTCCTTGTGGAAGCTGCAGTGACCGAGTGTGACAGAGTGAGTCACACTATAAACCCCTCTGTCCACATGTCTTCACTTGCTAGTGCTCATTACAGAGTCACTGGTCTGGTTCCAGGCCTCGGGTTTCTACTATGCTAATTTTGTATTTGATACTGTCATCTGTCCTTTGCAATTGGCACATTAACTTGTTTCACTGTGTGGGTATGCAAATTTAAAACTCTGACTTCAAAATCTCCAGTGCCTCAGTACAAACCCGCTTCTCAATAAGGTGACATAGTTGAGCTGGAGAAGGAGAGCAGATGATGAGAACCAGACATTGCAGAGGCAGCAGGAAAGAATTGGCTAAGGGAGGGATTTGGAGAGGATGAAGGAGAGAGAGGGGAGGAGCCATGGGGAGAGGGATACACAGTAGGGCTAGCTTAAGTGCTGCGTATATCAAGTTCCCCTAGAGTCCCTTTCCCATGTCTGTCCTCTTTAATGTGATGAGCTCTCTACATCAGGAGACACAGGGTGGCGACTTACAGGTGTGGCCTGAGACAGCAGAAGTTGGAGCTCTGCAGGAAGTCCAGATGGCAGTGTGCCCACTTCCCCAGCATGAAGGGTCTGTGTCCAGCACAGGAGGAGGTAAGCCAACTACCACAGGTTTCCCTCCAGAAAATTCTCATTATCAAGGGAATATGATCCAGGGCTGGTGTTTCACAGCATCCTTCTCTGAGGGGACTTGAGCCAATATCATTTACCAATATCAAGCTACCCTTGAATGTACAGACCCTGTGGACCAGTCTGCAGGGGAATAACTTGCAGTACTCATTAACCTGTCCAACCTTCAGGTTTCTGATCCTAGTGAATTGTTTCCCCACATGAGGGGAAGGGAGCTCCTTCCTCTCCTTCCTCTCCCTCCTTCTCTGCTGCAGCCTTCATTTATCCCTGTGCCCTGACCATCAGAAACGACACAGTCCCACAGCATGCTGGTCTAGTTTATGTGTTTGTGAAGGGGCCTCACTATAGGGAGTTTCATCAGAACCATATTTGTCTCCTAACAGGAAAGTGACAGCAAGCTGGAGGAAAATGGGTACCACTTTGGATGGAATGCTGGGACATTGCTCCACTTTGGAAGTGAGTAGGCCTTACCTAGGGCACAGTGGTCAGAGGTGGGGTCAGCACTCATACAACTACTTTGTACCCAGGTCCCACTGGGTACAGTGGTCAGGCCTAGACAGTCTTGTTAGCCATACAGCTAGGGCTTTCTGCTAGGCCTTCTGCTTGCTTGACCTGCTGGGATAATTGTCTAGAGTGTTGTCAGGTGCACCTGACAGGCAGACAGCCTCTCCATGCAGTGAAGGATGGCCACTCTGAATGGGATGATTGTCAAGGCTCATCTCTGGACAGCACATGGCCGAAAGCATCACTGAGACCACTATCTAACAGCCTGTAGTAGATGATTAGTTTTTTGTTTCTTGTCTAAACTTGACTCTGGCTTAGAGGTTAGGAAGAATGAGGCTGATCAGGCAGGTCTGCCTCAATCCCAAGAGTAGGTGGTCACTTAGCTTGTATTACAGAGGACAAGAGATAGATAGATGGATAGACAGACAGATGGATGGACGGACAGACAGACAGACAGATGATAGATAGATAGATAGATAGATAGATAGATAGATAGATAGATAGATAGAAACAGCTGTGTCATGGCTACAGAGGGATATTGAGATAACTTGGTGTAGGTCGCACATCTCTCCCCTCCGATCCTAACACCATTGAGAAGGAACACTTTGAATCAAAGATGGTGAACATCTTCTCACACCTGTATGCTGTGACATCCATTCTGTCACTGGCCAGTGACTTTGTGTTGGGTTCCAGAGACTGGGGAATGGGAATTCACACAACCTAGCAAGGGAAACCAGCCAAGAGACAATGACTGCTTGCTCCTCTGCCCATGTCTGGTCTGTATGTCAGTGAGTGACCATTAAGGAATGTCTCACCCTGATGCACTTACCTGAACTCATGGCCTGTGGAAGGGAACCTTGGGTAGTGTGGTCAGCCATGGAGTCTTTCTGGAGACCGCACATGCAGATCTGGACTCCAGGCCCTAGTAATGATGGTTCCTAAGAATGTGATCCTTAGGAACCAGAGTTGATGCCTAAGAGGCCAGGTGAGTTTAATGTGAACTTTTTATATTGCTGGCCACTGCAGGGAGCATATGGTGGCCTTTAGATTGTTACATGTCAGATGTCAGATTATGATGAGGCTCACATTTTCAACATCCTTCTTCCCCCACTGCCTGCCTCCTGGAGGCAGCAGGAACAGGTGCAGACAATACATGTTTTTTGTACCAAGATGTTTTCACACACTACCCCAAAGTTGCTCAGTAATACTCACTTCCCAGTGGAATAAAGTGAGTCCAAGTGATGCTGGGTAGCTTGCTTTTGGACAGAGGCTGACTGGTTGGGACTGTTTAAATTCTTCCCAGGTCATTGACACACATCAGATGACTAGTGTGGTAACAGCCTGGGTCTCTTGTAGTCTCAGAGGTCAACCCCAGACCTCTCATTGACCATCCTTTCTTTCCTCAGATCTGCAGGTTCTGGTGGATATGTTCAGACAAACCTCATCTTCACCATATGTGCATCCAGTCTCATCCAGGCAAGTGTTCAGTGAGCTGGGTGCAGGAAGCACAGCATATAGACACAGACATGTTGGTGGAAACTGCTTTTCCTTCTTGATCCTAGAGCCCGTTTATGGGACAGTAGCAGAGCAGCTAGGACAAACCAATCCCTGCAATCAGGGCTTCTCAAGGAGACCCAACTGAGTTCTTCCATAGGAAGGTCATGGGGAAGAAAATAGACATTATTCCTGCCTCATTAGGTCCTGAATTCCACAAAAAATAAACCAGCTATTGTCTGAAAGGCCACAGGTCTAGGGTGGTGAATGAATCTTTCTGCCAGCCTCACCAATGGTCTAACATAAGCTTTTTCTTCTAGGTACCTGGCCATATCCTGAATCGTGGACCCCGAGAATTCCTGACTTGCATGTGTGCACACTGAGCATTGGTGACATGGAGGAAAAAGAGCACCTCTCCCCTCCCCTTCCTGGCAGACTAGCATGCCATTTTCTGAGCTCCAGAGGAACTCAGAGGCTCCACACAGCAACAGGAGGACATGCTGTGGATGACGATGACATGGTTTCTCTGCCACCATCCAACTACAGACAATCACCCCAAATTACCAACAAGCCCTGGGGAATCTACAGGAGCGTCCCCTTGTGGAAGCCTCCCAGTGGGTGCTTACTGTGGAATCCTGCCCAACTTAGACCCCTTTGCATTTTGACAGTTCAGAAAATTAACCTATGCCTCTCTGTCTTCACAGATAACAAAGAAAACCTGCCTGAGCAGGTAAAGAAATATCTCAGAAGTGCCTTAGGAATTAAATGTGCTTCTCTTTCTGAACTCTAGAGTGGATCTCCTGAGAAGGGCAGTACCCATGGACCACCTATCACAGGCCTCCACTAACATGATGAGGTAGAACTTGAGGTCATACATTTGGCCCATTTCTCACTGGTATTAGGCAGAGACAATTTACAAAGAAATACTCAAGTATTTAATTAGAATTCTAACATAATTTCTCTAAATTGGCATTCAGAATGCTTTGACCACTGGAGGAGAGAAATCCAAAGCTATATGAGCTCTCAGGCTCCACCAGTTGTTATTCTAAAGGTGACAGATGTTTGCATTTCATCTATAGACTCAGAAAAACCCAGTCTGATGCTCAAACACAAGATGTAACAACCAATGGGACCTAAACCTAGAAGACATGGCAGAGGACAGGAGAGATCCCTCCAGACCCTGATCTTCTTTCCCAGGACTTCTCACAATGCCTGAGAGATCCACAGAGGGCTATAGGGAAGTAATGGAGACTGGATACATGGAACAGAACAAAGGCTCAGAAACAGACCCATCGAGATCCTGCCAGCCGATTTTCTCAGTCACCCATGGAAATCAAGGCAGAGAGAATGGCTTGTCCACAAATGATTGCAGAAGAAGATTTAAAAACAAGCAATAAGGAACCAACTGAAAAACTGAACACAGTCACCATTTCTATTGACCTCAAATACAAACACTATAATGCTCACATAAAGTTATAGAAGAGGACTACATGATTTCCTGCCTTATAGAAAGGAAGATCAGAAATAACACAGAGTAGATGAACTGTGGACTCGGGAGCCCTGCTGCCACCAGACATGAAAATACAGAAGCTGGAGCATGGCTGGAGCAGACACTCCCCCAGGACATCCAGAGAGAGCCTGGCTCCTGACACACCCTAGCAGACAACAAATCCCTGACAGTGAAAGTTGTGTGGCTATGAGGAGGTGGAGGTGTAGTGTGTGCTGTGTGGTGTGAGGACGGCTGAAACCTATCACACCATGTGGGATGGAGATGAGCTGTCCAGCTGATCTGATAACATCTCTGTATTGATGGTCCAGTCAGCTAGAGAAAGCAGCAGGGCTGACACCTAGACACTCACATGTGCTACCTATGCCCCTCCCCTTGTTAACAACTTACATACACTGCCAATGTAAGGACATTAAGGATGCCCCTCACCCACACACACCACAGAGTTCTCTAGGTATTAGGACTAGATATTCAACTCCCTTCTGCTGTCCCACACACAATGCTAGATTCTAGATCATGCTAGACATGCCTCCAACCACAATGTACTAAGACATGGGGAAAGGTATCAGACACTGTTGTACCATTACCTTCTGACAAGGACACACAGTTACTGCTTGGTTCAAATACTCCTGGAATCTTCCTGCACTGACATACAACACTAGGTATAATGCAGCATGGGGGACTACAGCATCCTCACTTGTACTGCCAGCTGTCAGGCCATGATAACCAACCTCTACATCACACACACACACACACAGAGATAGATAAATAGAGAGAGAGAGAGAGAGAGAGAGAGAGAGAGAGAGAGAGAGAGAGAGGAGAGAGAGAGAGAGAGCTTCTAAGACACTGCTAAGTATTGGGCCATGTGTGACTTCTCACCAAACTACACATTGACTGCTAGCTATCAGGCATTGCTAAACAAACCCTCACACATACCTCTCATGTATTCCTATGTCTGGATCCAGAATGCAACCCACATAATCCTTTATTAACAGCCACTTATCAGGTCATACAGGATACTCTCTTGCCACTGTATGCAAATACTCTGCTGGTATTGGACCCCATTTGACACCCTAACATCACTGAAATTCCACATACACTGCTAGGGTTCACGCCCTCTTGAGTATCACACCACACCACCACAATCTACAGTGTTAGTATCAGGGCCCACTGGATACCACATTCCATCAACCCATATATCCCTGTTGGATATCAGACCTGCTGGGGATTCCAAAGTCCATGGCAACTCCTACAAGGCTAGCTGACAGCCCTGGAATGCACACATCACCCTGCAGCCCTCACATGCACTGTCAGGTGTCAGGCTCTGCTGGCTCCCTCTGTGCCTCACACACACTGAAGTGTCAAGCACACTTGGACATCACATTGCATACTGCCAATGTACTTCAAAATGAATGATCAGACCTTGATGGACACTAGATCACCCATAAGCTGACACACACACACACACAGTAGGGATTGTGCCCAGCTTGACACCCCATTCTTCCACTGCTCCTTTCTGACATACAGTTATCATCAAACACATTGGACACACCACCACCCCTGTGATCACACATCCACTCTAGGTACCAGGTCCAGTTTGACCTCATACCCCACATTAATCGACAGCCATCAGACCATTCTGGGAATGTCTCCTCCTGTCAGGTCTTGCACAATACCTAGCAATTAGCATTAATAGACACCCTGCTCCTGCTGAAGACACACCCACACTGCTAGGCATCAGCTTCTACTGGACTCCTTCCTATGCTATACCATGTGCTGGGTCTCAGGCTCTACTGCTGGTTACTGGGCCATGCTGGACATTAACCCCTGTCCACACCACAGTGCATATAAAGTGCTGTGTGTCAGGTTCACTTGAACACAAGTTTCATCACACATGACTTGCTAGGTACCAGACAATGTTGACACACACCCTTACCTCCAATATACTTTACTGACCCAGTGAACATTGCAATTTTAAGGCTCTTCTAGACACCTTCATCACTGACATATCAAGTTTCTTGCTATCAGACACTACCACTCTGTGTGGATTTAAGTCATGTATATTGAAGTATATTGTATACATATACAATAATTGGCTTCAAGCCTTACCCAACATAGCACCATTCTGTTGACAACATTCACTACCAGACAGGGGCATGGGTCTAAGCACAGCTGAAAATTAGCAGCGCTATTGTGGCAGCAGGATGGGTGAAGGAAGAGAAACTTATTGGATGAGGCCGTTATCATGCACAACATCCGGGTTAGGACTGGGGAGTCCTGAGGATGTGATACACAGTAGGGCATCCAGGCCTCAGACAGGTGTGCAGCAAAGCCTGGAACCAAGCTGTGTTTCAGGCTATAGTGGCAGGGGTCTGAGTGTCCAGCACGGCCTGGTAACTACTGGTACATGGGGGGGGGTTGGCAGCAGGACTGGGGGGCAGTAACTATCAAAGCTTGTTGTGTGGGCAGTTCCTGATAGTGGGATGAGTCTCTGTGGGAGAAGCAGGGGGATTCACTGCAGTGTGTCTTATGAACCCAATGGTGTATGTTGGGTAGCAGCAGTTGGGAGCTGTCTAGATCCATTAGGACATGACACCTAGCAGTCTATGTAGGAAACTAGGGGGTTTGCAGCCATGCCTGTTCAATAGTAATATATGTGGATCAATGGTGAAGATGATGATGTTATAAAGAAAAGTGTGTGTGTTTGCGCACACATGCATTTGAAATTGGGGTGAGTGGTCAGAGAGTGTGTTGCATTGTCATGGGGATAGCTGTCTTAGAGAAAATGAGTCAGTGACTAGGAAAATAGAAACCCAGGGTCAGTATATTATTAATGAAGTTGATGAGAGGAAGTATCTTCAAGTTATAGACTTTAGATATTTTGGAGAATAAGGGTAGAAAACAAGAAATGTGAGGCTTGATGAATACAGGCCTGGGGGAGGAATTTGACTTTATTTTTACTGTACCAAGAAGCCAAGTTTTCTCTTTGCCAACAACACTAGGTATCATCATCTGTAAGGTGTCCCCACACTTAAATTGAAACCCACCCCACATTGCCAGGTGTCAGGTGCTACTGTAAAAAATGTCTTCTACAGCAGGTGCCAAACACACATGCCTAGGTGTGAGGTCCTGCTAGGTCAACTGTCCACTAAAGAAAATGCTCCTCTTGTGCAGTTGGGAAGCCCATCTTCCACGAGATCAACAATGCAATGGCTAAAGCCTCATGCACAGGGCTGGGTATCTGGTTTTTCTAAGGATCTGCTTACCTATAACCACAGAAGCCATAAACAGCTGCCCACATACTATAACACAAGTGTCAGGGGCCAGTATTTATCTCTTCCCATACAACCACATATACATACATGGTTAGGTCACATTCCTGATAGGAATCGCCTCAGGTACATCAGTGCAAACACCCAGAACTAGGCATCAGATCCTGCTGGGCACCTCTTCCCCTACATCCAAAGGACCACACAGTTACACAGCTAGTTTTCTAGTACTGTTACCCCTCCCCTATAGTCAGTGCCTTGTACACAGCCACACACTCACAACACACTCAGGCACACATGCTTGTATGATCCCATGCACGTGCTCATGCTGTCATGTCAACAAGGTCTCCCCCATTCAGCCAAAGCCCTGTTTACACACAGCTGTCAAAATGATGCCCTTCTGGGTGTCCATCCCCTACAGCCAAACACATACACAGAGACAGACAGAGAGACAGAGACAAAGAGACAGAGAGACACAGAGTCTGAGGTCAGGTCCTGCTGTTCCCACTCCATAACAGACAAAGCTGTCTACTCAGGGCTAGGTGTCAGGTCCTGATACATACCTCTTTTTCTATATTCATAGTGCAATATTCTTACACAGCTAGTTTACCAGTATGCACCCCATCCCCTACAATCAAATGCTAGGTACACACTCACACACTCAGAAACATGCTCAGGCATGCATGTTCCTACAAATGCCTTCACAAACTCAATGCACTCTCAGCTAGCTATCAGGTCCTAGAAGATAGCCACCATACAAGGAAAGCCCCACATATACTTCTAGGTGTTAAGTCCTGTGAGGTAGAGGAATCACCCATACAAAAATCAACCCCAACCTCTAGGTGTTAGGTCCTGTGAGGTGTCCCACATAGAGCCAAAGCCCTATTTACAAACAGCTAACAAGGTGCTTCTGCTGCTAGGTGTCCATTACCTACAGCCAATCTCTGTATTTCTCTCCTCTCTCTCTCTCTCCCCCTCTCTCCCCCTCTATCTGCTTCCCTCTGTCACATGCACACACATGTATATATGTACATCTAATCCCCTGTACTGTTAGGTATACACTTGCCTAGAGCCAAAGACTCGCAATACATGCAATTTGACTGGTCCTTCAGGGTTATTGTCTCCATTATAGGCAAAGCCACCCCCTCATCAACACACAA